TTGAATACACTTAAGGTCTTAATATAACAAATGGAATCCCAACCTACTGGGAGTCAAGTATTGATTCCATAAATTTATGTGAAACTGTCATAAATTTGAGTTAAACAGTGGGAGAATAATTAATTTAATAAAAGTCCATGTTAAATTAAATAATGTATTTTATAAATTATTCTTTTTCTTTTCGTCATTTACATTTATATTGAATCTTGAGTAACCATATGTTTTGAAAGGCATACTGGATGCCAACAATCAAACCAAAAATTTTCTTGATTGGTACTACAATTTGAGAATTGTTCTTAGGCATGAAAAATTGTTTGTGTCCTTGAGTAGCCCTTTCCAGAGACATTTGGTGGTAACTAAATTAAGGAAGAGGTGGCTGCTATAATAACATGATGATGACAATAGTACTGCAACATGTGTGATGTTTGCATTACGTCACCTGAGTTACCAAAGCAACTTGAGAGTATAAATGCTAACGCATGATTTTTCATTTCAAAGACTTGTATGATAATAATCATGTGTGGAGAGTTATAAGACTTCCAAGAAACTATACCAGTGCAAAATAACAGAGGAATCTTCACTCAATAGTTAGGTACTGAAGATGATTGACATTGAGAAGTGTCTCAATTGAGTTCCACCATGAACCATGAACTAAGTATTGACTTTGTTTTGCAATCTTTGTCAGAAAGAGCTATTTGCAACTAATTATGTATTATAATATGAATAAGCTTGAATGCACATCCATTGAGTTGCTTAACATGCTTAAGACCGTTATGCTCAATATCAAAGTTAGTAGTGGGCAAGACATTGATTCCTTTAAAGACATTAAGAAGAAGTCTAAAGGGGCTTTGGAAAAACGTCAAATATGACTGAGACAGTCAAAGCAAATGACAAAGCTTACATCTACTTCATGAGGTTCTCAGGTATTTGATACGAAATGTGGATCTCATATTTATACAAATATGGAGAATCTAAATAGAAGTAGACTACTACAAAAGTGAGAAGTTGACTTACACGTTGAAGATGAGCAAAAGTTGTTGCATTGCCTATAGGAGCATACTTTTTGTCGTTACCTTTTGGCTTAGTATTAGAATTAGAGAAATATTGTTTTATACCCACCATAGCTGGAACATTAAACTGAATTTCATGTTCATACATGAACTATTTTAATGTTAAGGACAATTGTTGTTCCTGCTTATCTTGATTAAGATCTTAATGATTATGATAAGTTACAAAAATAACATTTATATTCTAAACACTAAGTATTCTATAATGAGTATAGAAGTTAAGAGGCATAAAAGTGATAATTTGATTAATACCCAAATCTGGTATTGCAGACGTGGTCATGTAGATGAAATGCAATTCCAAAATGACATACAAATGTATACGTGGAATCAATTGATTTTAAATCATTTGACAAGTACAAATCATGCCCATCAGGCACAATGGCCAAATCTCCTTTTACTTGAAAGAGAAAAATATCTGCATGATTACTGGGCTAATACGTAAGTGATGTATGTAGACCCATGTCAATTAATGCTAGATAAATTTTCTCTTATTTCATCACTGATCATGTATACTTTATGAAACTCTTGAAAAGCTCAAGAGATTTAAACTAGAAGAAGAGAAATAAATAGGTAAAGATATCCTCACATCAAGATTTGATCGAGAAGGGAATACCTTAAAGAATGAAATTCTAGATTATTTGAAAGAGAATGAGATTCTCTTGCAGTGGACTTCTCCATATACACTGTAGCAGTAGTGTATTTTAAAAGATGAATCATTAACTATTAGATATAATGCGATAATAACAAGCATGCAAATATCCCGAGATTGTTTGTGGGGTCATGCACTGATTGCAGTGTGTTACACACTAAATCATGTCCCATCTAAGTTGGTTAACAGAATTCCATACGAGTTATAAAAAGACAATAGTCCTAATTTATCTCATATGAAAGTTTAGGACTGTGATGCTTATTTGAAACACATTGAATCGGATAAGTTTGAGACTAAATTCGATAAATTCTATTAACCCATTGAGAAGAAAGTCTTCGTCTCACGACATATCGCACTCTTAGAAAAAATGTTTACTCTAGGAGAGGACGGTGGGAGTAAAATAGAACTTGAAAGAGTTCAAGAGTTCACAGATATAGTTAACCAAGTAGATGAATTCGAGTTTGATCCCATATCTGATATGGGACATACTCTTGATCAAGGAGTAGAAATTCCTGAGGACATGTCAGCTCTATATGAATCTAGTAGGATCATTCGACATTCAAGAAGATGGAAATCCATGATTATTAATTAGGCATTGCTGATCCAGGATGACGAACCTACTGATTGCACAAAAATAAAGTCAAATGTTGACTTAAAAGAGATAGCAAGAGGCCATGAAATTCGAGATGAACTCGACGTATGTGAACAAGATTTGAACCTTGGTCGACCCTCCTAATGGGATAAAATCCATAGGTTATAAATGGTTTACAATAAAAGGTTGACATGGATGAAAATATCCATACATACAAAGCAAGACTAATAGCAAAAGGTAACAAACAAAGACAATGTGTTGACCTTGATTAAACCTTTCGCCTGTAGCCATGCTGAGGTTCTTTCGGATTTTGGTTGCAATAGTTGCATACCGAACCTATGGGTTAAAGCAAGCCTCTTGGAGCTGAAATCTTCGATTTGATAAAGAAATCAAAATGTTTGATCTTATCAAATATGAAGGCAAATTGTATGTTTACAAGAAGATGGTAGGAGCATTGTCGCATTCCTAATATTGTAGAAAACGACATCCCTATGCTTCAATCATTGAAATAATAGTTGTTAAATGATTTATTCATGTATGGGAGAACCAACTTGATCTACAAAGATAGATCTAGAAGATTGCTTAACTTGTCCTAATCTACATAAATAAAATCTTGAGAAGATTCTATGGAGAAACTAGTTTATTCTTAAACTGTATGTTGGAAAGGTTTCAAATGTGAAACAACCGTTGGCTCATTGGCAGAAACCTAATACGTGATTGTTTCAGAAGTAGCAAGAAGTTACAATATGGATTAAGATGTTCATTAATGAACTTCGGATAGTTCCTAATATTGTTGATCACATGCTATTGTATTGTGATAACAATAGAGCCATCGCGAAAGTGAAGGAACTAAGATCTTATCAATGATCCAAACATGTATTAAGGCGGTATAATCTCATCAGAGAGATAATACAAAGAAATGATGTAAAGAGAATAATGAATTCCCACATTTAACAATATTGTAGATCCACAGACAAAGAGGCGTAGCATAAACATGATTGTCATGTAGATTCTTATGATATTGAATACATAAGTGATTGGATCTAGTGCAAGTAGGAGTTTGTAAGTGTTATACCCTAGGTCCAATAACCTTGGATATAAATACTTTTAATATATAATTAATGCGATTTAATGGAAGATCTATTATTTAATTAATAAATAATTAAATTAAATAATAGAGTTCGTAGATTCAAATCTTTGTAATTTGTTAATCACAAGGAGTTGTGATTGTGAGATACAAATTACATATGATTAAATCTTAAATCCTCCATGGTCATAAGTAATAATGAGATACGGATATCATTATTATGGATAGACCATCACGTGTGACATTTCTTACTTGTGAAATAAGTAGCTGATCTCACAAGCTAAAGTGTGGTGACACTTGAATGAACATGCAGATGTTTTGTTATAGAACAAAACATTGGAGACCTGTCTAAAGATTTCACATGGATAACTATCTGAGTGTCAGTGGTTAATCTCTAACGTTTGGTAGTGGGATTGGTCCTTTGACTTAAGGTCGTCATAGTATCTTATATAAGGACAGTCATGTTTTGATGGTATTGGATGTTGCTTTGCCAAGGGCCGCTAATGTGACATCGTTCGGGTATGTCACGAATCGTATGAAGGTTGTGAATGACCAATAGAGGATTTGTCGCTCTTAGATAGTAAGAGATTATGATCTGCATTTCATTCAATTAAGTCGATAACGAAATTCTTGGCCAAGGTGTACTCAAAAGTCAAAAAAGAGTTTTCGACTAATATTGGCTTTACAGTGGAGTGAAAGATATGATCGATAATCGAGAATGACACACTTTCATACTCGTAACTGATCAGATCATATCGATGAAGGGATTATAGTTTCACGGTAAACGAAGGAGTTTGGTTTAGTCATACCATGTGACATTTTTCATCACATGTATTGTCCTAACACATTGTTAGATGTCAATCTGGAACGGCGAGTGTAAATTTGTGATAAATTAAAAGGGTGTTTTAATTTATCAATTTTGATTAGATTAAAATAATATTTCACTTCGTTAGGCATCATGATCGGGAATCTGATGGGTCGCATACAAAGGAAGAATTGGAATATTGTGATTTGTTAATTAATTAATTTAACAAGCGTTGGATAAATTAATTAATTAGGTTGCTTATTTATAGGTCTGAACCCGAATTTAATTAAATGGGTTAATTAAATATTAGACCGGGTCAGACAAGCCCATTCAGGCTTATATAAATATGATTAGATTTTTCCAAATTGAGTTATTCTTGCTAGCACAAGAAGAAAACCATAATCCTACAAACTTTTTCTTTATGTGGATCACCGTTGGAAGCTGGACAATTGGATATTTGTGGAAAACAGATCAAGGTTGGTGGAACAAAGAAAAAGTAAAAGGGTTTACAGGTCTAGAAAAGATATCACTTTTATCACAATTTATATCTAAACACAAAGAAATCCATGGTGGGAATCAAAAATTATTTTAATTTTTCGTTGCCATGTTAAGTAGATTCCCAACATCAGCCACTCGGGTCTCTCTAACACTTGTTTCTTCCTGTTGCTTCAAAATGATACATTTTAACAGCAAATGGTGTGACATATCAAATTTCTAGAAAACGGGTCTTCATAAGCAAACAATTTGAGCTAAGGGACATTATTTTTGTAAGAATGCACTGATGTAAAAGAGGTAAGAACCTTCAAAGATATTGTTGGAAGCATCGCACTACACTCCTGAACTAAGCTCGAATCATGCCAAAAGGTAAGGTTAGCTCGAGGTAACAGAAGTTCGGGATCTGTATAATCGAAGAAATGATCAAAACAAAATGATTTTTGAATTGTATTCCATAAAAATTTTATTCAACAGTACTTGACATCTGGACCAATTTTTTTAATCGCTTGAAATCTCACCATTTCACCATATACTAAAAAGTTCAACACCCACTTCCACATCTGTCGTACAAGAACTTGGCCAAAACTTAGTTAAAATCATATGTAATATGCATGATAAAACACATGAAAAAATGGTGTCCTACGTATAGTAATGTACAATATGCGTGAATTTAAAATATGTGCTTCAAACCTTCAGCAAATCCCTCATACTTCACATTAATAGTGTGTTCTGGGAGAAGGAAATCAAACGCTTGAACACTAAAGTCCATACATCCCCATCCTACATAAGGACACTAATTGATTAAATTGAACATTAGATCCAGCAGATGTTGCATACACTAACTTATGCATTTCAATACAAAAGATGTTCATTGTAGCTATTCTAATAGGAAAAGAACACGTTGTGTATTCCCAAGAAGACAATTTTCTGATAAGTCTCACGAAAATATTTCAATAATTGTAGCAATACTAAAGAAACAATTTGGAACACCAACCGTTTGAAGGAAAGTTTAGCTTAGAGATTGAAAGTTCTAATTATCAATCGATTTATTTATTTAGGCCCACCATGCGGAAATAATCAATTAAAAAGTAACAAGTTACTTTTTAACTATTTCTAGGTGATTAATCAATCAAGTTCAATTACCCTATGGCTTGAATGCCACAATCAATAATTAAAGCAGTAAAGAACACCAAAGATGATCAAGAAGAAATCCCAACTAGATAAAAACTCGGGGCACTTTGTTAGTCAACAATCCATTATAAATGATGAGACTTACAGTATGGTCCAGACCCGGCTAACTCTTTGTCCCCTCCGACCTTCTTTCTGTAAACTTTGGTATCATTTATCTTCTGTGGATCTCCAAAAACAAACCTCGTTCTTCAAATGGAACCTTGTTAATCATAGGGCATCAAGTTATGAGAAACCTATCATGCTTAATTGCTCAGTTAAATAGGTTCCAAAGAAGAGTATAAGATGAATATTTCTTTTTCATATATTTCAAATTTTTGAATCTCAGTCATCTATTCCTATTAAAGAAAATATAATAGAGCTTTAGATCAATCTAGTTAAAGGTCATATTCAAAGTCAATTCACCATACAAATGACTGCCATTCCAAATCTCAAGCATGTAGTCAAAACCTACTTGCAAGTGTCTAATGTGTGCATTGTATAATATACATGTAATAATCTATACCAAGTACTCCAAACAAGTTCTAAAAAAATTAATGGAAATTCAATTTATCACTCATGAACTTTAGTAGTACATGATAGCAAAATAAAACGTCCAATAAAAAAAAAATTTCAATTGGTAAAACATGAGTGCACCAAATATACAAAGTAAAAACAAAAAAAAGTATGCAGCATACAAAAAAAAGTGCATGTGCCAATGCAAACAAAACGAAATGCATACTATCATGAATAAGCACAAGCATGCATAAAAAATACCGACCCACTGAGTGATAAACCTGCTTTAGCCTTGAAGAGCAACACAACTAGCATCATTAGTTAAAACATCTATTTGATTATAGAGATCACTCTTCTTAACTCAAATCCATCTGGTGGAAGACTTATTACGAGTCAACTGAGTCATTAACTTGATCAATTGACTTACTTGATTGGTGAAGAAGTCAATTCGGCTATCAAAATCCTGATTTCTATCTCTAGTAAAATTCTAATTTCTATTTCTACTCAGAAATTTAAGAAACCTAGGCTTTATGTGTCCTGAATCACAACAATTGAAACAAGTAGGATAAACATAGGCCCAAAATTATGTGGTTGTTAATATCTATTCTAAGGGGGCGTTTGTTTCTTATTTTTTATTTTTGTAAAAATGAGAATGAATATAGCTGTTGCGGACCCCACACAAGAAATAGAAATTCAAATTTGGTGGTTTGATGTGATGGATAACGGTCATATTTTGCATTTTAATAGGAAAAGAATGAGAAACAAATAGGGGCTTAACTTGGTAGGTCTTACACTGTCTAGTAGGCCTTTGTCCTATGATACCCTTATTTTTTAGTTCAAGGTTAGGAACATTCTTAGGCTGACTAATGGCAATGACAAAAATGGTTTTGAAAGTACTAGCTCTATTATGATCAGTCCGTTTATATCCTAGATCTCCTTTGTTCCCAATAGGCTTATTCAACCCTAAAAGCCTGTCCAGTTTTTAAAATCCATTCAAGAAAGAATGGAGTTGAGTATTGGATTTCTCAAGGTCGCTTGTCAACATTTTAATCTTAGCCTCTATGTTCAGCTTCACTAATCTTAACTCTCTAAAGCTTTTGGTTGACTCCTAAAGGTCATATATAAGACTCTCTTTCTTTGCATATTTTGGAAAGATGTTATAAATGGTGAAATAGATTCTATTATATCTAACAATACTTGAGAAATTGTTGATTTATCAAAAGAATAAGAGCCTATTGGTTGCAAATGGGTGTTTGGAAGGAAATATAATTCTGATGGTACACTCAATAATTAACATATCATCCATATAAAGATACATAAATGTAATAATGTTATCACATACTTGATATACAAATATTTATGAACCGAATTATGAGTAAAACATTATGACATAATAGTAGTGTCGAATTTCTCACGCCATTTTATAGGTGTTTGTTTTAATTCATATAAAGACTTAACTCATTTGCATATCTTATGTTCATTTTCCGATAGAACAAATTCTTCTATTTGTTCCATATAGACCTCCTCATCAAAAATAAAAGATCTTGAATAAGTGGGCACTATTATTTGTATAAAGTTAAGAAGGATAGTAGGATGTTATTTATTACGCCAATTACATTCTATAGGAATGTGACTACTACGTACAAACATTTGAATATTAAAGGGGCAAATACCCTGTTGGATCCAATTACAAGTTAGTGATGAATAATGGAACAGCAGTAGCTCAAATTGAGCATGCAAATACAATTGGAAGTCTTACGTATGCAGTACAATGAACAAGATTGGATGTTGCATTTGCTATGAGCAAACTAACTAGGTTTACCAATAATCCAAGTTCGAAACATTGGAAGGCCATGGGAAGGGTTCTTGTTTACTTAAGGAAAACCAAAAATTGAACTATAATATACAAACTTCTCAACTATTCTTAAAGGACATACCAATGCTTGTTGGATATCGAGTATAGGAGAAAACAAGTTTACTTTCGATTGGATGTTTACTCTTGGAAGAGGTACAGTTCTTGGAGGTCTAAAAAAAACATGTATTGCACACTCAACAATGGAGTCTGAGTTTGTAACATTAGCCAAAATAGAAGAAGAGGTTGAGTAGCTAAGGGATTTTCTTTATGAATTTCCTTTGGGTGCAAAGCGTACTTCTTCGTTACCTATCTTATGTGATAGTCAAGCCAACTTAGCATGCATGAATATAGTGAAGTATATAATGAAAAGTCTAAACATATGAGTCTAAAACATGATTATGAGAGAAAATTAATTAAGCATAAGTAATTTCTCTCACATGTGTTAAGTCTAATGAGAACATAGCTGATTTGTTAACTAAACCTCTTATAAGAGAGTTAGTAAGATCAACATCGAGAAGGATGTAGTTGAAACTCCCTGATTAAAAGTCTACAAATGATGACAACCATACCTAACTATACTAAATGATAAGTGTATTTTATACACTTATTTGGACCTAAAAATATAACTTAATTTATCGTATATTTTGTTTATTAGGTAAAACTGGATGATTGAAAGTGGAATTGGAATAAGGAATGAAAAGGGGTAAAAATGAAAGAAATTCAAAATTTGGAGACCAAAGGGTAAATATCCAATGGTTGATTTGGATCACAAGAAATACCTTGAAGATTAATAGGAGTCAATTGGATGCAAATAGAAGTAAAAAATGAATGGGCTATGATTATTACCATAAATCAACTTCCAATCAAATAAAATATCTTCTAGATTTTAAGTCAACTTAAGACCCATTTTTCAAATAGCAAACATTCGAATTGGATACATTGTACAAATTGTAGCTCTTTAATTAGCTTTTGACGTTCTCTCAATCGGACATTAGAAGAGAGAGTTATGAACAAAATATTGAAAGCTGTTCAGAGACAATAGCGAGCACACGAATCAGCAGTTTCCTTTCGTGATTCAAGCAAATTTAGGACTCAAATTTGACTCGATTTTGACCTATTTTCTGACTGTTATAAATAGAAAATAAGGGTTATAGATAAAAAAAAAAATGTATCTTGCCTCTTCATACACAATAGTTTCATCAAAATCATCAAGAATAAGATGTCAATTTATCACTTTTGATAGAGACGATCAAGTCCTAACAAGAATTGAAGGCCAATTAAGAAATTGATGAATTCAACTTTGGACTTGAAAATCAACATCTTTTGTATTCTTTCATGATCCGAGTGATATTTTTTCATTTTTCTTCTTGTAATTTATATATTAATATGATAGGCCAGATTCGCTTTTATATTGATTGAAGATGAATTGATACATGATAAAGAAAAAGGCGGCAAGAAATGGGAAGAAATCGAAGATAATGAGGGGAGAAATCGGAGAAGAAACAGAAATTCAAGGGAAAAGGGAAGGAGGAGGAAGGAGATTCTACAATCAATTTCAATTCATCATATTCATCAACTATCTCAATTACATGGCAAACAAGATTTAAATAACAAAGCAAAATCCTCAAGAGAAAACGCTACGCCCACTAAATAATAGTCCAACTAAAATAAACAAAATAAATAAGAGTCTAAATAAAATAAAAATAAATATATGTGGATGTCCTCATCAACTCTCTCTGGGTGGGAGAAAACTCGACTCTGTCGAGTGGATAGATCACAAGAGGCTACAGTCAATCCGAAACCCAAAATACTTCAAGTCATGTCATGAGGGACGATCTTTCTGATGAACCAAGTATCGAAATTCCATGATTGATAGTAATGAAAACTTTAGCTTATTCCCAAGAATATGATCTGATCAAGGGAGATGGTCTTTCTTTCTAACCAAGTACGAATATTGGACTCCAAATAACCAATACTCATGCACCTCATCTCCAAAATTTTCACATGATTATACATAATGAGGAGCAGAAGAAGCACGTCGATCTACCCAAAAAACAATGGAGTACCGACTCTTTCCATCAATTGTTAACACAACATATTCATCTAAAATAGCATTAATTTTATCTTTGTGAGCGCGATGAGTGTTATTAGATTAGAAATGGTAGTATATGTAGGTTAAGGGTCCACATATGAAAGTTGAAAAGGATGATCAACACAATTAAAACGGCATTTGTACTAACTAAGTCCTCAACAATCAAAATAGTGTGGTGGTCAAAATGTGATAAAAGATTAGTGACACATGTATTTGAACCAACATGTTTTAAAATTTCATAAGGACCAGCACTACAAACTTGCAACATAACATAATCCCCAATATTAAATTCAAAATTTAGCTTATTCAAATTAGCTTGAAGTTGTTTAAGTTGTTTATTGATCTCAATATGCAAGTTATAAAGATGTGATACAACTACCTCAACTGACATAGATACAGTAGCATGTGGGGACATGGGAATAAGGTCTAAAATTTCCCTAGATTCATAACCATGAATAACTTCAAAGGGACTTGTATTTATAGAACAATTCACAAAATTGTTATATGTTGGGAGTATCACATTCCAATTTCCAAGATTTTCCTTAAAAATGGCATGATTACACAAATCATCAATACATTTAGGTTGGATAAGAGTATGGTACACACATTAAACTGAGAGGTATCGGGAACAAAGGGTTCAATAACTAGATTCATAGGAAAAGTTCGAATGTTATCTAAGGAGGTACTCTTACTATCGTCCAAGTCATCTTAGTCATTAAACTAAGTTCATATATTTGATTTTTTAATCGCTCATCTATTATATTTTTTCATTCTTTAATGACTAACATTTGACTAGGATGAGAACTGTGAACAAAGTCCTTACAGTTGTAGCATTGCAAGTGAGAATGGGTCATTGGAGTTTCAAAATGCTGACCCTTATTTTCCAACAAAGGAAAATTATTAGATAGGGGAGGTCCTAGAAAGGACTTATCAGGAGAATGTGGCGTCGATATAGGAGGAACATTAGACAAAGAAGGCTCTATAATAGACTTATGACGATGTGGCGCTAATGAGATGGGTGAACGATGGTACTATGCTTTTCATATAGAGCACTAATAAGTAACTTGTAGTCCCAAGGTAAAGAGTAAGCGTGATTAAGAATAATGATACCTAGAAAGAAAAGCTCATGCCTAAGTTAATCTTTTAGACCTTGTATAAACCTACTCAAAGTTAAGGTATCATCCTTAATGACATGACATTTCATTTGAAATTCCTCAAATTGAGCAGTATACTCAGTCACTAACTAATTCCCTTATTTAAGGGTAATCCATTCAGTAATCCATTCAAAATCTAAGCAACTATCAAAAGTAGGAGTGTCTAATTTAATGTCTCTAAAGAAACTCTCCTTATGATAAGGAAGATAATTAATACCGTGACGGTTATAGGCCCGTTTTCACCTACGAACTTGATCCCTATCACTACAATCGTATCGAAAATATTTTCAATCTCCTTGTCAATGACGATAATGTCTATTATGGGATACTTCAGAATTATCCACGTTAATCGAATTAGCTTAAAATTGTTCAAATTAGCATAAAGAGCCTCACTCTCTTCAGGAGTAGCAGTTATTTGGGTTTGGATAGCCGCTATTTATCGGGTGAGTGCATCAAATAGTAAAGGTTCCATGGAGAAGGTACTGAAATTAGAAGTGATAAGATGATCACTATGCAACTACATGCACTATATTGCCAGCTAAATGATGTACAATATAGAGATCAATGAACAATAAGTACTGTTGAGAATAACAACTTGAGCCCTTTTTTTTAAATTTTAAATTTTGGGATTAAGCAAATCCAAATATTTCAAACTAGTACTGTTGATTCATGTAAAATAGCAAAGCAAGGGCTAAATACTAGCAAAAAACCTAATTACTTGAAAAAAGTTGGGGGGTTAAAAGCAAGTGTACAAATGATGAATCAAAATCTCACATAAGGTGAGTGGGGAACCAATGGGGGTCAAGTCATTCAATGATTCTGATCAAGTGGAGTTAAGGCTAATATTATCAAAGTATCAGCAATACAAGATTTTAATTGATACAATTTTAAAAATAAAGCAGTAGTATAAACTAATAATAAATAGAGCTCGCAAACTCCCTGTTATTTAGTTGCACGAACTTATGCTATGGGGGCCCAGTTATGCTAGTGTCCTATCCTTCTTTGCAGATGTCTTCCACTCCAGAAGTCACTCCATGTTTATTGTGATTTATATGGTTATTGCTTTGGCTCTATTACGAGTTAGAGATATGGTGGAATATTATCTGACAGTCAATTGAACAATAGCCACTAATGATCACCGGTGAGAGTGGCGGTCGTAGACGGCTGCTTTGGGTTATGTTCTTATCGGCACGAGTTATAACTGACAGGCAAGTATAATTGATTCTTGTTGTCGGTCGTTAGTTACCAAAGAAGAAGATGGTGGTATATTGGATAGCAGATAGTTGGATGTAGAGGGTTATTTTGTACGTTGGTGGCTGTTAGAAGTCTTGGAACACATTGAGAATTCCATTTTTATGGAATGGCAGGCGACTTACAGCAAATACAAGGTGATGACTGGCGACTGTGACTGAGAATGATAATGACGGTAACAAAGCAGGTGTGAATTGGTGCTTATGGGTGACGTCGTTGTAAGAATAAACAGCACCACGTGTTGGATGATGTGCTTGGCTGGATTGAGCAGTGGCGGTGGTGACCGTGGCTATGAAGGTGGTATTAGGGTGTGATTGCGGTTTGCTGATTTTAGTGGAGGTGTCCCCAACTATAGAGGTTGAAGACGAGTCATAAGGTTGAAGATGAGATGATGAATTGTAGTGAAAATAGGCTTAGGTTTGGGTGGTGGGCTGGGTAGTTGGGTTCTCTTTTGTGATAGTTAGAGTTTAAGTTATTAGGCTGGAGGAATTGGGCCGTGGGAGTTAGTAGAATGGCCAAAGGGGTTAGGGATTAGGAAATAAAGAGTATTTGTGGGTATATATGGGTTGTTATAGGGTATGGGTTAGGGAGATTTGCGCTAGCATTATATGTGGGCTGATTATAAGTAGATTTGAGTGTTAGGGTTGGATATTGTGGAATAACACTACAATTATTAGCAGTGGCAACAAGAAACGAGTTTTTTTTCTAGAAACTGATGAAAGACTAAACTGAAATTTTCGGAGGTGAATAGCACCCGTGAACAGTAGATTTTTTTTCACAAAGAATGAAAACTACTGCTCTTACGCTAAATGCTTTTTACTTATGCTGTTCCAACAAATTTTGTGCAGAAGGCAAGAAGAAATTTTGGATTGTAGATTAAGCTTATCCAAGTTTTGGCTCTGATACCAAATTTGATGCAAGATACAATAAAAGGCAGCAAGAAATGGGAAGAAATTGAAGAGAATGTGGGGAAAAACCAGAGAAGAAGCAGAAATTCAGGAGAAAAGGAGAAGGAAGGAAGGAGATGCCACACCCAATTTCAATTCATCATATTCATCAATTATTTCAATTACATGGCAAACAAGGTATAAATAATAAAGCAAAACCTTAAAGAAAAATGGCCAAGCCCACTAAATAGTAGTCCAACTAAAACAAACAAAATAAATAAGAATCCAAATAAAATAAAATAAAATATAGGTGGATGTTCTCATCATGAACCCTATTTGTTATTTATTTCTAATTTAAGACTCGTAGTTTAGTAATTCTTGTGTTTCTTGATTAAATTTGTATACATGTTGCACTATTTTAGTTACTTGTTGTAGTGTTGGGAGACTTACAATAAATTTAGAAAGAGACAAAATAAACATATGCAATATATATTAAGAATAATATTTATAACTTATGCAATCATATAAATAATCTAAAATTTAATGCATTTCAACCATCGAATTCAGGCTAGAAATATATTCGGGTCGTAGTTAGGATAGATTTAATTTGTCTTGAAAAATAAAATTATATATCATAACTTTATCAATTGTCAAGAACTCATGAATGGAACTAGATTATAAATCAAGAATTGAAATGGATACCAATAGGCGAATTCGAAATTCAATACAGTCATCTATAATTTTGCTAAAAACCAAACTTTTATTGCTTTCTTAGAATAATTTAGCAAAAATAAATTTAAAATCTCCGTTTTGGTTTACATAATTCAAATTCCATACGAGACAAGTAAACTTGAATTGAATTTATTCCCTATGGGTTGATATTCTTAACTCACTAAATCTATTATCTGTGAATGATCCGTATACTTGTGGATTTCGCACGAACACTAAACAAGTATATCTAGGTTCAAAAGGTAATAACAAATCATTCAATAAATAATAAGTTTCAGCACTATTAACATAATATAAAAACATATCCTTGATAACTAGTGCTAATTGTTGTGATTGGATGAATGAGTTTATAAAACTATTAATGAAGTTCACCATGAGGTACAAATATCTTTAAAGTAACAATGATACTAGAAGAATTTTATCTATGTGAACTTCAAGGTGGTGTCATTTCAATAGAGTGTTAGAATTTCTCCCTAAAAGTTGAACGAATAGGATAAGTATAAGGCCATAAAAGTATTAAACGAGTTTGAAGAACTCGTGAAATTATAACACTCGTATGTGCGATTTCACTAATATTGTCATAAGGAATAATTGGTTCAAAACTATCATGCTATCTAAAATTTCGATAATACTTTGTGAGATTTTCACTGTAGTTAAATTCAAATAGAAAGATATATAATTCTTACGCACAAATTTTGCTAAATTTGAATTGTGAATGACATTTTCTTTTAAATAAGTGGAGGATTGTTTTAAATTTGTTCAAAAATGTATAATGTTTGTATATTGGTTCTGGACTCGGGTCTTTAATGGGCCAAATGCAAGGATGAAAAACGAAGGCAACAAATGAAAAACTGGCCATTGAAAATTTCTAACATGCGTACTCATGGGTTAAATTTCCATGTACACATGGCACTCATAGTAGAAAATTGAAGCATTTTTGCTTCTACCATGTGTATGCATGAATATAATCATGCGTACGCATGGTTCAAAAACTTCGTCGTTTCACTAATTTTTTATTTGAATTTCTTGTGTCTTTTGGTGGAAAGTTCCCAACTTTTCACAAGTGTGGAGCCTTTTCATGGTATAATATTAGAAACTTATAAATAGGTGATAGATTTTAAATTCCAAAACATAAGAAACGACAAGTAAATCATTACTTGAGATATTCCAGTTCATTCATCAAAAATTCCAACTTCTTAAAGTTTTTCAACAAGTTCAACTAGGAAGAGTCAATTATGCTTTTTATGCTACTTCCTTGAAGGCTTGTAAATCCTCTAAAGTATTTGTCCCCTAAAAGCATACTAGATAAGACAAATATCATTTTTAGGACAATGTATCATATACGTGTTCGAACCTCATTGTTCATTTTATCTTCTTCAAGTTTCCATCTCCTTCTTCTCCTATTCAATATTTCCAACAAAATATAATTTTTAAAAAATCTCTCCCAAACATACCTTAACACTCTTCATTTTTACTGAAAAATGTAGGCTTGGACATCGGATAGATCAGTATGAGTTTTTTAATAAATGGAACCATCCATCATACTTCAGGTATTTCATAAATAGAACTATTCGGGTACTTATCATTATTTGAACCAAACTCAAATCCAAACTGTCAATTCCAAATCAGGTTCGATTCTACCCATAACAATTTTTTATATACATTTAATAAATATTTCCCTATTGAACCTTTCGATATGTATACCAAACATGCTGCTACTCGACAATATTTTGCAAGAGAGAAAATCTAGCTAAAATTTTTTTCAAGAAGCAAAGAATTCTAGCTATATAACTCAAAATAGTGGAAACTAAAAATCACACAAAGAGGAAAAAATTTAAAACATCAAAAATCAAATTACAGTTTGAGAAAAGTAATTTTTCTTAATAAATATTCTTTGATCCATATATGAGGCATTCTACATCCTATAATTTAATAATGAACAATACTTAAATTCTTTTACCTTTTAAACTAAACTGAAAAGAAATAATAATTAGATATATATAACTATTTTGTATGAAGGAAATGCATTCCACATATGAACTTGCTTTGTTTGAATATATATATATATATGTATGTATATATATATATATATATATATATATATATATAGCGTCCAGAACATTAAAGAATGCGTAAATACAACTTAGAAGGGACTTTTTCAGGTACAATTCAGAAAGACAAAATTAAGAGATCAAGCAAGAGATTGAAGGAAACAATGCGAAGAAGATCGATTCAACTCCAAAACAATTCTATCTTCTTCTTCTCCTTCTCTCTCTCTCTCTCTCTCTCTCTCTCTCTCTCTCTCTCTCTCTCTCTCTCTCTCTCTCTCTCTCTCTCTCTCTCTCTCTCTCTCTCTCTCTCTCTCTCTCTCTCTCTCTCTCTCTCTCTCTCTCTCTCTCTCTCTCTCTCTCTCTCTCTCTCTCTCTCTCTCTCTCTCTCTCTCTCTCTCTCTCTCTCTCTCTCTCTCTCTCTCTGTGTATATATATATATGTGTGCTTTCATCCATTATGAACTAATTCTTCTATCTATGGTTTGTTTGATGTAATCGACACATGTTTTGATATTTGATAAGTATTTCTTTGAAATTTTCAATCAAGTTTATTTTTGTTATTTGAATATAATGCTTTCAATTAACTGGCTATTGATTGAATAAACTCATTTTTTAAGTTTTGACAATCGAGATAGCAAACCTTAAGAGTGATCATAAAATAACACAACCTAGGTTCTATATGTTTCCTTTGGAGTGTTTCCACGTAAGAGCCATAGAGCATGATAATTTCGATACTTTTATTTTGGAATAGAGATATTGAAATTAAATTATAAGAATAACTGTTACTCGACGGCACTTGAGAGAGAGTAGAGATTCTTACTTATAAAATTGAAAAATCAATTTGAGATAATTAGAGAATTGAGAAACATAATCGATAGTTAAATGAAACCAAAAAAAAATCGAAAGTTCATCTTATCACATTGCTTAAATCTTTAAAGCTTGCATTAAAATCGTTGAGTTAGTCAAATATTCATGTAGATTAGATAAAACATTGACTATAAATTCAATCGTCTAAATAAAATAATAGCTATTTCATTATAATACACACTTAGTGAAAATTTAAATTTCAATCTCAATCACTATGAGTTCGATATTTTAACTATACAGTCATGTTACAAAACTTAACAACTGCGCAATTGTGATATAATTAGTACAGAATATATGTAACAGTAATATAGCCACCCTAATTACAACCACGTATTTTGTAATTACTATTCATTATTATCCATAAATTTTGTAAAATTACATCACTAGTTTTTGTTAGTATTCTTACCGGAAAAACTGAAAAATATAACAAAATATGAGTTACACATACATGGTACAACAAATTAAACCCAAACGGATTACTTTATTTAAATGTTTTTATTACATAATGAAACGTTATTAACTTACTGACTAAAAAACTGAGCCCATCTACACTATAATTGGTGACGGCATGATCTTGGGTTTCCTTGGTGGGGGTGGCCCAGGCTCCGGCGGTGTGATATCCGGCGCATGTGGTGGAAATATCTCAGGATATCCAGGTGGTGAAGGACTTGGTGGCCGCGGCGCCTCGGGCACAGGCGCCGAAGGATGTGGCGGAATCGGGAATTCCGGACCTGGATTTGATCCAGGTGACAGCGGCGGCGGATCAGATGGCCTTTCTTGTGGAACTAGATCAGATATTGGAAGAAACGGACTCTCAGTCATCTCCAGCGGAGATTTTACTGAGCCATCATTACAGGGCTGCTTCAGATTTTTGTTGAAACTTTGAGATGAGAGAAGAGCTCTTGAACTCGATGCATAAAGGGGAATGGATTTTCTTGTGGACGAGATTGCAAAAGGAGGAGACATATTTGGTGAAACTGTTAAGGTTTTTGCAGCAGCAGATATAAATTGCATGTTATAGAGAAACGTGGCAATATGAGGACACGTGTAAAACAAGGAACCAACAACGAGGCTCCGTCCGGCCGTTGAAAACTTGAAATTTATGCGCATTCTCAATTATATTATTTAAATTCAGTTGCTTTTTGTTTAATTATTTTTTATATTATTTAATTTTCCTCGCAATTATTATTTCCTATGCTCAATTTTCTTAATCTGTGATGTAATGAGTGTATACGTGTACGTGTTATTGTATGCCATCTTAATTAGACATATATTATTATTATAAAGGGGAATTAAAAAAAAAAAGTAATTGCTTATTATTCAAATTGTATATCATTCACGTATGAATTTCTTAATAATCATGGACTAATAAATAAAAGTATTTTTAGTTTATTTTCTGAGATTTTTGGTTGATAGAAGATATTGGGAGAATGTCTATTTTCTTATTGTTTTCTCATTTTAAGAATTTGTATGTCCCTTTTATAAGTTTCAGTTTATTTTAGACCATGATTTGATGTTTTATGAAGTTTATGGCGTGAAGAATTCGCCAATATCTCGAGTACTTGTGTAATGTCGAAACAAGACCGAACCTCCATCGATCTCATATTTTTTTAATGCTTCGAAATCTATTTTGTTTACTTTTTGTGTGCTACGACAAATCATTTGATGAAATCCCCTTGGACTATGTAAAACTTCTTAACATGCTTCTAACTAAGTTTGGAATCTTAAAACTTACTTGAAATTCCAAGAAACAATATTTGAATTACTTGCCTTTGGTTGGTTGCTTGCCTACTACTGTTTTGGTTAGAAACTTGATCACAAAATGAAGAGCTTGATATTCACAATCTAGTAACCAACTTTGAGATATTAATATTGCAAAATTAAGTCACCACACTCGTGCAATTTCACTCTGTTCTCTACACTTGAATTTTGCATTATCTTCATGATTTTGATGTTGCGGGAGTTATATGAAAGCTGTTAGTTATGGAGGTTAAATTTCAAATGTAAACCTCAACTAGTCCATTCAAACTCATTCCATGCTACTCTACATGGGCGACCCATTTTATACCAACATCTCCAATTCTCACATGATAAGTTTAACCTGATTATATTATAATATCTATTATATCTATACCAATATCTCAAGTTCATACAGGTAAATGGATCGTGCGACTAGCAAGTTAATTTAAGAGCACACAACGCAATATACTTGTTAGGGATATATAAAACTCTACAAAAAGGAAATACATTTCTTTCTATATCCCAGACATATTTTGTAACATCAATTCAAGTATTTCTGACCTCTCAATAAATCAAATAATATACTCAACTTTTTCATTGTATTCACAATTATATCACAAAACTTCTAAAGGTTAATATAATTATCTGGTCGGTGAATACAAGCCGAAGTGTTGACAAAAGTCATTCTTTTATACCCGGATCCCTTAACTTCTAGTCAGTTGCTTTCCTAAATGTGTGACATCAAACCGAATCAACCATAATTATTAGCAACATGCTAAAGAAGCAACATTGGAATAAAACTTTGAAAACCAGTCAACAATTATAAGTGTATATAAATAAGGTCATATGTGACTCGGGGACTCTCATAATGAAGAAGCAGGGATCTATTCTTTTATTTCTCATTTATCGTTAAGCCACACATAGTATGAAACACGTGTTACGATATTTTCTCACTTTCTTATGTTGTATGTCTTATCAACAAATTAAATATATTGTACAAATCTTAGTTTTGATATTTCTCAATGTCTAACCTGAGTTCTTCTTATATTTATTCCTTTAGGCAATCCCAACCAAGAGCTCGATCTGACTATAAAACATGTCTAATGGATGGTGAAATCCATTTCAATTACTTGTTATAATTTGATCTTGATATCCGATTGAATCATGTACACAATATGATCGCTATATCTCATCTCAGTACACCTCAAAGTGTCTGAAGCAATTACCGTGTAAGTAAACCTATTTTAACATGTTTGACGTACTTTGTGTGCATATAAAGTTATAATCTAGTAATCACAACAAAAGATTACTCTTAACATATGAACTCAAAAAATTATTTTTTAATGGACATGCGAAAAATGTTTACACAGTACATAATTCAAATTCTACATAATCTCATAGATTTAACATGAGTAACAAAAACATCTCTAGGGATAGGTTTTGTAAATGGATTAATTATCATATGGTGCATAAAAATATGTTGTAAGTTCACTTCTTTCTTTTCTATAATGTCTTTAGTAAAATTATATTTGATGTCAACTTGTTTGGTTATGTTGTAATCCTTACGATCCTTTGTATATATGATAGTTGTTTGACTATCATGGTAAATCAATGTAGGTCCCATGTCTCTACTAAGGACTCTTAGGAGTTGAAAGAATCTTCTTAGCCAAACAACTTCATTTATTACTAAAGCACATGCTACAAATTATGTTTACATCATAGATAAGAAAATGAATGTTTGTTTCCTATTACTCCAAAAAAGTACGCTATGATTAAGCAAGAATATACATGTGGAAGTCAACTTGCACTTATCTAGGTCTCCACCCCAGTCAACATTTGTATATCATTTTAATCACAAATCATTCTCTTTATAACATAGGGAATAGCTAGTAATAACTTTCGGGTATCTCATATTATCTTGACCATTTTTTAGTGTCCTATTCTAGGATGAGACTCATATCTACTGACTAGACCTACGGCATAACAAATATCAGGATGAGTATACATCATAACATACATCAAGTTCCCAACTATACTAGAGTATGGTACTCTAAACATTTATTTTTCTTCAAAAGTCTTATGACAGATGCGAAGACTTAGAGTCCCTCCTTTAGAATAGGAATATCAATAGGGCTGCAGCTTTTCATTTGAAACGTTCAAGAGTTGTTTTTATATGTAACTCTTGTAAGTAAGAAAGAAGTCTCCTTGAATGATCTCTATAGATTTTAACATGGAGTTATGATCTGGCTTATCCTTTATTTCAAAATTAGAAGAGGACCATTTCTAACGGTCTTAACAAACTCTTTATAATTCCGGGCTAATAGGATATCATCCACATAAAGAGAAAAAATGGATATTATCAACATAAAGAGAAAAGAAGTTTTAATGTCCATTTGGTGTAATTCTAAATCTAAATGTGCAACAATAGCTAGGGGTAGACAAATAAAATTAAATCTCACAACTGGTGAAAAAGTTTCTTTATAATCTATACCCTTTTGTTGAGTATAAAGTTTTGCTACCAAGTGAGTCTTATACCTCTCTATCGACTCATCAACTTTACACTTTATCTTGAGAACCCATTTATTCTCAACAGCTTTCTGGCCAGGCACAAAATCAAGCAGGTTCCAGACATGATTTGATTTCACAGACTTTATCTCTTCTTTCATTGTTTTCTTCCGATTTTCCTTTAATGGGCCTAATAGAGCTTCATGTACAAATTTAGGCTCTTCATTGTCCTTGGCGATACTAGAAATACTTGTCTTTTAATCTCAAAATAACATGTGTGTATACTTTTTCTAATACTCTTACGAAATAGATGCACCCTATCACTTGAAGGTAAATTGATCCCACATGGATCAGAGAGAGGAAATGCATGTTCTTATACTTTAATCAATTCATCATGGACAGCTCTATCATCTAATTCAAATAAACTTTCTCCATTTTCTAGTTCTCCCATGCTAGGAAAATCAATCTCATGAAATGTCACATTACACGACTCTATCTCAATTATGTTCCATCCTGATTTTTACCTATAAACACATATCTTTTGGATTGGTCTAGGTATCTTATAAAGATACACGTTTTACGTCGTGGACTCTATTTTCCAAACTTACTTGGGAAATTATCGATATAAGTAGCTAATCCCTATAAGACAACTCAAATCAGGGGATTTACCTATCTAAAGTTGACACAATGTAGTAAGCACCTATATTGAGGGAACTCTATTCAAAATATAGTTCACAATCAAAAAGCATTTTTCCAATAGGAATGGATAAGTTAGGCCGTGCCATTATAGACCTCACCATTTCTAGAAACATTTTATTTTTCCTTTCAACAATACCATTTGTTGTGGTGTAATAGGAATAGTTAACTGCCTAATGATTCCCTTATCATTACATAATTTTTTGAACTCCTCGGGTATATATTCTTGGCCTCGATAAACTCTTAAGGCTTTTAGCATTCTACCTATTTGCTTTTCCACCACATTTAGATATCGTCTAAAGTATCTAATGCTTCCGACTTATGAGAAATCAAACAGACATAACTAAATCGCATGAAATCATCAATAAATAATGATATGAGAGGCTCCATATCTTGCCCTCACATTTATAGGACTATATATCTCTTAATGGAATAACTATAATGGAACTTTTGCCTCTCAAGGCTTTACCAAGTGGTTTTCATGTTGGTTTTTCAATTAGGCAATGTTCATAAGTAGGCAACAAAACCTTAGAGATTGAAAGTTAACATTGGCGGATCTAGCACCTGGCAAGCCCCTGCAGCCACGCTTGCTAGATTAAGCCATTTTTTATTTTAGCCTTTCCTTTTAGCCAAGTTGGCAAGCGCTTACACGCCTTTTTTGGATGTCCCGGGTTCAAAACTTGTAACAACCAATTTATTGTATAATATTGTTAGTTATACAGTTTTAACCAAAAACTAGTGTGATAAGGAAAGCCTGAAGGGAATCGAACTTGCGTGCGCCTTTTAGAAATATTGACAGCTTGACAATTATAATACTTGTTGAGTTGTGATGTTAAAATTAACAAAATAATATATGTTAGATTTTACCGGGTTTAATGCAATCATAAAAATTCAAACAACATGCTCTTTCTTTGAATCATACAAAATAACAATATTATTTGGTGAGTATGATTTATTCTTTTAACAAAATTATATATGTTCAATTTCAAAAAAATAATTATTTTATTTAAATTTTAAGCCTTATTTGATTCCCATTTAATTCAGAATATATTTTTTTCTTTTGTTTTCAATCAAACATTCTTTAATAAAATAATGTTTCACGCAAATTCAATATTTTTTCTTATTTTTAACTACACATTCTCCATCAAATCATTACTCAAAAATGCATT